TTGGCGCCCTGACGCGCGTGCTCGCTCACACGCGCCTGGTCTACGAGGACTTGCAACTCCTCTCCGTCCCCCTGTCTACCCTAGCCAAGTCCATGGCCCCCTCGCCTGCTGCCAGGGTCGCCCGCCGCCTCTCGCTCGAGTCTCAACGCCTGCTGCGCCGCAACACTCCCACCTCTGTACCTATGGTTCTCCGTACAGCCCTCGCAGGTGCCCTCAGGGAGACATCCCGTGCCATTTACGCTACCCTCACGGATGTCCATTAACGGCCCCCGACCCGCCCCTCCGCACGGGACCCCGCTCCGCCTGCTGTCACTGCAAGACCCGCGTCCCCACCTCACGTCAGTCTGCCCCCTCCCGCCACCGATGCCGACGCTACTCGCCGTCAGGCCGTCACGACCGCCAACTCCCCGACGCCCCAACCCAGCACAGCCTCCACGCCCTCTACGACTTCCCCAGAGGGCCTCACCCGCTCCGCTGCGGCACCGGATGTTACTATGTCCACCCCCGCCACACAAGCCCCACTCGTTCCCGGTGCCCCACCCGAAGCCGTCACCTACACGCCCCCGACGCCCACACCTTCAGCTGAGGGGCCCCCTCTTCCAGACCCCGCCCCCGAGCCATTCGCGGACCGCCCGGAAACCCCGGTCCCCACTCTCACCGATGCCGTGGCCGCCCTCCCCATCACCGCGGCCACACCCCAGCATAACCCCACTCAGCCCAACAGTTGCTCTCTCATGGCTGAAACAGCGCAACCCACCTCGCCACAGGCACGTTTCACCCCTCATCCTGTGCAGTGGCCCCCCCTCCCGTCGTTCAACATACAGCCGCGCATAAAACGTGCGCTCTCCACAAGCGCCAAGACTCCGCCCACTAAGCGCTCCTCCGCCTCCCAGGCCTCGCCTGCGCCCTCCACTACTGACGCATGATCCCGGCAGACACCAATCACACCGCTGGCCCAGACCCTCCCATCACTCCCTTCCCTCCTACCCTCCCCGCTACTGCTACCTCGTCCACACCCCATTCCGACCCCTCTCGCAGCCTCCCTCCACCCCGCACCTCCCCCCTCCCGACTGTGCAAGAGCTCCTTTGCTCCCCGCTTCGGCCATCTGACGTCTTCTCCTCCATCCCCGGCCCATGCCTCCACAGCACTGTTCTCCTGTTCATACGCCTCGTCCGAGCTGCCACAGCTGCTCGTACTCCCGAAACCACTCATGAAGCCTTCATGCGCTTGCACATGCTCCCCACTGCAGTTCTTCGGAAATATTTCCGTGGCGAGCCCGGCTGGAGATCTTCCCGCGGTCAAATGCACGCCCTCCGCCTCAGAATTCGGCGAGCGTGCCGAGGGTCCGAATGGGGAGCTCTGTGGAAAGAAGCTGTGGATGCCCACCAAGCACGGCTGGAATGGATACAGACACACGGACGTCATCGCGCATCTACAGGCTCGTCTTCTGCCCGTGCGGCACGTGCAATGAGGCTCGCGTCACAAGCCCAGTATGGGCGTGCCATGCGTACGCTCATTAACCCGCCCCTCGCCGACCTTAACGACGACACCACAATTCACAAACTCCGTGCACTCCACCCAACCCCAATTGTGCCAGTGGTGCCCTTGCCACACTCCGCACACCCGCGGCCCCCAGAAATCACTGAGCAGCACGTCCTACAGGCTGTCCCCCGCCTGAATCCCAACTCGGCAGCGGGCCCCGATCGTATGTCTCCGAAACTATTGCACCTCCTCGCGAACACGAAAATCAGGTCAGAAGCAGGTGTGACCGGCCTGTCCGCACTCACCAGTCTCGTCAATAGACTGGCACGCGGATCCCTTCCCCTCCGCACTGCCTCACTCGCCAGCGCCGCTACGCTCCTGCCATTAAACCCACGCCCAGGGAAAATCAGGCCTATTGCTATCGGACAAAGCCTGCGCCGCCTGGTCACCAAAGTGCTTCTCGAGGCGGCCATCGAGGACACGCGGGAACATCTCGCGCCTGAGCAAATGGCAAATGGAGTTCCCAACGGAATTGACGCAATCGTTCACGACGCGCGGATGCTCGTTCGTCGCCACGGACACGAGCCACAGTACATCATGGTTTCCATCGATGCCTCCAACGCGTCCAATAATTTTTCTCGCCAAACAGTGCTTCAAAGTCTCCCTGATCGCGCGCCGTCGTTATCGAGGTATCTGGACATGATTTACTCACGAACTCCTCCGCCGCTCATTGTCCCTTCCTCGCCGCCTACAGTTCTGTCCAGTCGAGAAGGGACTCAACAAGGAGACCCGTCCAGCATGTTGTTGTTCTCACTCGCCCTGCAGCCGCTTGCACGCCACATCTCCGAGTCATGCGACCTCCTCATGAACAGATGGTATGCCGACGACGGCACGATTGTCGGCAGAGTTGAGGAAGTAGTGAAAGCGCTCGCCATTATCAAAGCAGAAGGCCCCAAACACCAGTTTTTACTGAACCCTACAAAGACACGTGTGTTTTGGCCCACCGTCAACCCTGAAATTCTGAGCCCCCTGTTTAAGGTGGCCCCGTTCAGTGTTGCAGAGGAAGGACTGGACCTCCTCGGAGCCCCAATCGGTTCACATGGCTTCATGACACAGTACATACAGACAAAATTACTGCAGTGCAACAACGCCCTTTCCCAGCTAGACCCAATACCTGAAGCTCGAACCCGCTTCCACTTACACCGGGTTTCCGCTTCTGCCTGTCGTGTGCAACATCTTTTTCGCCTGGTTCCCCCGGACTTTGCTCTGTCATACGCTCAACAATTTGACCGGGAACAACTTGACGCGTATGCTCGCTTTAATAGTGTGACTCTTTCCCCAACCATCGCGGCTCAAATTCGCTTGCCGTTCAGGCATGGAGGCCACGGCTTCACGTCCTTGGCTTCCACTATCCACGCCTCATACGGAGCCAGTCTCATTGACGCCGCCCCCGTCCGCTTGCAGGGCCCCCAGTTCCCCTCCGTCACACAATATCAGCGTTTTGCAAGAAGCACCCTGCGTGTGGTCCTCAGAAACTTGCCCCCCAGTGTACAACCGCCACACTTTGCGTTGACGGAGGCGGATCTCGGTTGCTTAGAACCAGCTGCCTTAGTGTCGCGACCTGAACGCATACACAACTTTTTACTTCAGGGGCAGCAAAGTGCAGCAGCCCGCACATACTGGCAAAAGAACCTTTGGGAGTCGTTTCCCGATCCAGCTGACCACAGCACCGCAAGCATACGCAGACGAGTCAGGTATAATTCCTTACTTTCCCCGGGTGCTACATCCTTCCTCACTGCCCACCCAGCTGCTACGTCTCGCGTTCACAATGCCACGTGGGCCACGATGCTCCGACGCCACCTAGATGCTCACGTCACACAAGATTCCGTCTCCCCGCTGCGTTGCTCCCATTGCTCTAAACCGATGGACACCAGAGGCGACCATGCTACTATATGTCGCCACGGTTTCGGCACGGTACACCGACATAACACCGTCCGGAATGTCTTTGCCCGACAAGTCTTCCGTCCAGCTGGTCTGGCCTACTCCCTCGAGGTCCCGTTTCTCATACCCAATACCGCTGCACGCCCTGCCGACATACTCGTACAGCCCTCGCCGCCTCCTCCCGGTCTGCTTCCAGATAAGCCAACGGCTTATGATCTCACTATTGGCAGCCCGTTTCGTAAAGGCGTGTTATACCAAGCCGCGCGCCACAGTGCTGGAGCCGCCGAAGCAGGCGCGTATCGCAAGCGCAAGGCCCTCGACCGCACCATCCGCAATGCTCTGCTTATCGAGGACCACGGTCCTCCCCCGTCCCTGGACTGGCACTTTCAACCACTGTCCTTCGACACTCTGGGTGCGCCCTCACAATCCACGCTTCAAGTCATAGACGCTCATGCAAAACTGATCGCTCTCCGCAGCTCCTGCACGATAGCAACTGCAAAGTCACGCATTCACCAACGCCTGAGCTTTGCCATATGGTCCAGTGTCGCTGCAGCTATCCTTTCTCGCCTACCGACACACGTTGCGGACATCACGTACCCGATAGAAGTATAATTCACCTTCATATCTGCTAGTGTATCTGTAAGCGCACCCCTTCTGCATTGATAAATTTACCCCCATCCTTTTGTTCTATACTTGCGAAAATCTTAAATTTTGTTTAAAGTTTACTGTAGAGCATTTGACCTCATATGAGGCAAATTGCCTGTCGTCTAGACACTAGTAGGTGTGTAAATTGTACTTGCCTTATCCTCTCGGCCGGGCAGCAGACATTTGTATTGTACGGTGCGTGTTGGTACCTGTAGTGGAGATCGTCTGTATTCGTTTTGATAGCGGCTTGAGAATCGCAGTTTACTATCGAGTTTACTGGGCGCGTCGACTGACTGGAATCTTCTGCAGCGTGCAAAAGAGGGAAATAGGTGATTTTGTCTTCAGGAAAGGTCTGTGTTCAGGAAGTGTCAGTGGGCGCGAAACGCAGCCTGATGCGCGCCACTGCTTCGCTCATGGCGATGCTATCGGCATGAGACATGCATGCATGGGACGTATGCACGGGTTGACGATGAATAGGTAGGATACTGTACGCAGGGTACAGGATGGACATGGATGCATGCCGTTTCGAAAGCAGTGCAGGCCTGTCACGTGGTGAAGGCCGCCGGCTGTTTAAGGTGGTGTGGAAACGAGCCAATTGCTGCGCAATGGCAGTGGCAATAGGTAGCTCAGGCACGTGTCTCAGGAGGCACGGTGCCCTTCTCTAGCCAGATCTTGAGATATAGAGAGAGAGACGACGGGCGCATACGTATCATGGTATGGTATGGGAATGAGAGGCGTTCGTTGAAGAGATGGTGCGAGATGCACGGTTCTGTATAAAAAAAACAAGCAAGAGCAACTCAATGACAGAAAATAGTAGAGGATAGGTGCCAAGAATGTAGGCTACGGTGCGTCGATCTCTTCCGTCTCGGCCGCCGGCTTCAACAAGAGCAGCAAGGAAAAAGAAAACGCAGCAGGCACTGTCGTTGGTGAATTATGTACACGTCAATAGTTTGTTTTGATGTTCCCCCAACCGCGGGGGGAAGAAATTCATAACTGTTAGCGAAAAAACCTGACACTACTATATACACACACGAGGTTGCGACAGAGAAAAAATTAGACGAAACGTCGCAAGGGGCAGGTATCACCGATTCAAACCCGGGACGACCTGGGGCTGCTCCATATCCTCATCGTCCTTGATCCTGACAAAGCGTCCCTTTACGCGGGGTCGTGCATCGGCGAGCTTCTTGCGGCAGTCGTAGCGAATAAGTTTTCCAAACCTGCGCTCTCTGCGCTTTTGCCTAAACCTGACCAAAGCAGCCTCCCTGGTCTTCTTCTTAAACTCGCGAATGAGCTCCTGCTTCTCGTGCTCAATACGATCCTTTCGCTCTACCTGGGTCTCAGGCTTGACGGGGCCCTGGGGGCGGTGTTGCATGTGGGCGGCGTGGGCGGGCGGCATGACCATGCCTTGAGGGAAGCCCGGGTGCTGGGGACCGGCAAACATGACCATGCCTTGCGGGGCATACATAGGCCCGGGGGCGGAGGGCATCATCATTTGCGGGTGCTGACCGATCATGAACATGCCGTGCGGATGCTGGTGGGGGTGCGACGGGAGGAAGAAGGGGTGCTGGACCGGGTGCTGGACGGGAGCGGCAGCAGCAGCGGCGGCGGGGTGCGGCGGGACAGTTCCTTGGTCCTTGGGGTCGGAGGAGGATGTGGTGTGCGGAGATTGCGGAGAGACCGGGGAGGAGTTGGAGGGGACCTTTGCGTAGCCGCTGTTTGGCGAGACGTGTCGTTGTTGGTGGTGTGCGGAGTGCGGAAGCGGAGAGGAGGATGTGGCCGGGGAGGCGAGGGAGGCGGGGGGTATGTGCTTGTCTTGGTGGGGGCGGTGGTGGTCGGCGGAGTCAGCTGCAGGAGAGACATATGTGGGCATGTTGAGGAACTCGCGGCGGACGGCCTCCTTAGCGGCGGCCTGG